TTTGTTAGACAAGACCCTGATTTCCACGAAACCATGCTAATTATGATTAATTATATTTTGCTCTGAGTTATTTCTTCATAGAGTCATGAATTAATTATTTAAGTAGACCGTCTGGGACTGAGGTCAGTCTAGCCAGTCTCCGAGTGCATCCCACTTACTGCTTCTACAGTATCAGAATAAGTCTTCTGCCACTGAAAACCATGCTGAGCACAAATGCTCTTGTTCAAGTAGAGGTAGTGCTTGTTTCAACCTGAGCTGCTCTGGCTGCACAGCAAGTCTATTGAATAAGTCATCTTCCACTCACATCACCTCTTCATCACGCTTCATTTTATATGTGTTCTGTGTTTGCTGTTGATGACTTTGTATTCTTCTGTGTGGTGCAACTTAGATTTGTTTTGTTCTCATGATTTTCATCTCCAATTTCCTTTCTGTCAGGCAAAACCAGTATTTTTCTTATCTCCTATATTCACCTGAAAGTTCAGGCACCTTTTGTAACCTAATCCAGATGCAGTGCTTTCAAGGTTGAATTTTAACATGTTGAATTCATTCATTAGTACTTCTCAGGATTTGCCTTCTAATGGCACAAATATTGATGTTTTTGTAAGACTACTTTTTGTTGCACACTGTTTTGTGGTGATTCTCTCATCAGTCACATTATCTTGTCATTGGTGTATTTGCTGCAGTCATGCATTTCTGCCTCTTTAAATGACTTAAGGCCTCACTTCTATGCCCTTTGTAAACTTTTGAGAAATGTTTATAAATCAGGTATTTATGGCAAGATGTATATGAAAACAGGAGGAAAGAATTAAAGTTTTAGGGAGAACATACCCTGATAATGACCTCTGAAATATTTGTAAAGATAGCCCTGGGCATCTGAGCCCACAAAATAGTTTATAATACAACAGCTTGATTACATAATGATACTTTAGTTTTAAAACGTATGATCTTTCTGTTTATGGGAAGGCATAATAGGCTCCTTTGAAATACAATATTTTTGCCCTGAACATAACTGATTTTAAATGAAAGGACTAACTAAAGAATGCCTTTTTTTCAAGTCTGTATTTCGCTTTGTTGTTGAATCCAGCATGATGGTTTCTTTTATAAAACTCTTACCAGGCCAGGGGACCACACCTACCTCAGGATGCATTATTTGGGGAGGTTTCATGGATTCCTATGCAGGAAGTTACCTAGTATCATTTAAGATTATATGTTTCAAGATCTAACTGTTATTTAAAGAAAAAAAATGAAGAGTGAAAGAAAAATAAAAAACCTGCATGTACACATAGAATTACTTTTTATATTGAAATTTAAGATATTGTCAAACACGTTAATCTTAGAGTGCAGTGTGATTTGGGTGAAGGATTAATTCTCTGCACCAAACAAGAATTAATGAGTGCATTTCATCCAAGGCAGTTCATAAAATGTCAGAACAAGTTCAGTATCAAATATCAAAGTCAAACATTTTAAAACTCGTATGTAGATAAATGCATCACCTAAACTCTTACATTGCCTGTGCATTTAGTGTTCTTTCTCTCCTGCCTGGTCAAGCTGCTATCGGAGTTGATGTTGATCTGCGTGAACAGTTGTGCTTTGGCTAGAAGCAGGTGTGCAAGAAATGCTCTTTAACAAGTGTTCATCTAAGATCTTCAGTGCAGTTTTGCTGAGTGTGTATCAAAATTCATGACTGCTCATGAATTCCAATCAAACCTGATTTCGGCTGCCTTTTAACTTTCTCGTCAAGACAATGTGTGTGAGCTTTTGACAAAAGCTTTACTTTGCCTATAGTTAATGAGCTAAGCTGATGTATTCTTGAACAAGTTGAACAAGCTTTATTTCTTATACTTTTATAAGATTTAGACGCCTGGACATATTGAAGTCTTTATCAAGATTTTGGCTGCCATTTCTAATTGCGGATCCATGCTATTCTCAGGTTCCTCATTAAAACAAACAAAAACAAAATTGGAGTTTGTGATATAAAGCAAATAAAATAATTCTTCTCCTCGAGGGCAAAATCCAATAATTCATCTCTGATAAAACCCACTCCAAAGCATAAGAAGGTCAGCCTATAGTGAACAAGAAGTTAGACATTATTACAATGAATAATTTTCCTGAAATGTTCTTTACCACTATACTTGAGTGCCAACACCAAATAGAAAACCCTGAAAGACTTTTGTTTCATCTTGTTCCCTAAGTATTTATAGCCTGCCGTGAAGAAACACTGACAGCAGTGCACTGATGATTTTGTCCTTGATAGAAGTGTCCTAAAAAGTGAATTTTCTTTGAAATTTGCTCACAGAATCAGGACATTAGAACTCTAAAGTCATCTCTCTCTCTTTCTCATTCTCTTTCTCTCTCTCTCTCTCCTATTTGTACCTAATTGGATTTCGAAAATAAGTTGTTAACAACCCAGCTAAGATAATGTGGTCGTGAAAAGGATGTCCAAATCCACCAATTTACATTGGTTTGGTTTGGCTTAACTTTCAAAGTTCTTGGAGCAGAAAGTTGATGGCACGTGAACACTATAATTGGTTTGATATTCTTGGATTTTTTTCTTTCTGCCATATTGCACAGTGTCCAAATGAAATGCTAATCAGAACTCATTTCTGGACCAAAGTAAATTTATAACAATAATAATTCACTTATATACTCCAGATCATTTTGCAAGATGTAATATCCTCCAATTTACAACACAGTTTGTCATTTTCACTCGATCTGGATAATTTATGTAGTTTCATACTGAGGGGGTTGAGCTGTTCCAAATTGATGCTATTAATGTGAGACACTGCTATTTCACACACAGTGACAAGTATTGCTTTCATTTCCATATACCCCAGAAGATTGAGAACCAAGTTGAGTTAGATCCAAGCAAAAGTTAACGTTCTGTTTTGGGGCCTTTTGCTTGTTCATTTACTTCTTTTTCCTCTTTATTTTCTAGTTTAAACTTCAATTTACTTTTTTTTTTACAATTGACAAATTTTACAATTTCAAATCTTAATCCCTTACCAACAAGAGTCCTACTTTCCCAAACTTGGAATTGCTCTCTCATTTTCTCCTTGCTAAGATACAATCATACTCTTCCATTTTAGGATAAAGTTGATTATTTAAATATTGTAGTAATTTCCAATGGGTCTTATGTTATATACCCAGTGAGTATGTAACCTCCAAATTTGCTTATTTAGCAACACCTTTCTGAATTCCCTTAAATACACATTTTATTTATCCCTTTGTAACCAAAGGAGATCTTCCTCAAATGAATCATCACTTTCAGTATTATGTTATAGGACATCCACAGGTACAGGGTAGAAAATTGTTAATAAGAGGCACTGATAACCAATGCATAATATGAAATATGGAATAATATGGAATTACTATTCCTCTTTAAAATAGGTTATTTACTGAAAAAAAAAAAAAAAAAAAAAAAAAAAAAGAGAAAAAAAATAGAAAAAGAAAAAAAGAAAAAAAGTGAGGACACTCTTGGTATTATAGACATAAAATGTAAACTCTAATTTGTAAAGAGAGTGGGAAACAAAAACAACCTTCCCCACCCTCCGCCCCCCCTCTCTCCCTTCTCCCCCCCAAAAAAACCCCAAAAAACAGTGCACCACTTTATTTTTAAATTGCTATTATTTTTTTAAATCCTTCACAATCAGTGAAGAATATCTCCAAGCACTGAAGTACACCATGAAGCTGTGGCACTCGTCTGCCAAGTCATGTTGCAGGTGTCTTTAAATGACGACTTGAACCTCAGCTCCCTCCTATTTGAGCATAATTACAAGTGGGCTTCTTAGATACATTTTGACTTGTTTTCACTTTTTCCTATACTTTCATTTTTTCCTTTTTCCTCACCCTGAACTGCAAAAGGAAATATTCCCACTAGACACATTGTCAGAACTGAAATATTTCCTGAAACCATTTTGTTTTGACAAATTAACTTTTTCCGAGATGAAGGCTTTCTCTGAAATTGTTTGCCAAGATTAATTAAAACTTCTGTTCTAAGTGATGAGTAGCCTTAAAAAAACCTTGAGCTTGGTATAGATTCTCTTAACTTCTTGTTTACTTGCAAGTCTTAAATGTAGAGTGACAACGTACAGTTCTGTGTTTTCAGTTCTTAAGCATGTAGTCATTTCGGTCATTGTTTGCACAATAGCTAATTCTCCAAGGAAAGAAGAGCAGTTCCCACGTGCTTTAAAATGCTACAGCTATGCAACTAGGGCTGGAAGTGCTATTTTAAACAGTCATATCAGCAGCGCTTGCTGTAGGAGATAATATGTCACAAAGGGGAGTATGACATCTAGTTTCACCTAGAAGATAAACCTTGAGTAGATATGCAGGGAGAAACAAGTCTGTCAGGTTGTCCTTGAAAAGGATGGCCTATATTAATGAAAAAATGTACTCCAGGGCATGTGCTATTTGGGATATTTAATTTTAGCTTCAAACTCGTCTGATCTGCTATGACGAATATAATAGAGAAGCTGTAGTTGTGTGTAGTCTTACACACGTCATGATTTCAGAGTGGGCACTGCAGCACTTAATTTTCAGAAAGGTCATAGCCTCAGATATTCACATCTGAAAAAATCAGGCCTCAGACAGAGCAGCTTCCCCTGTTAATATACACCATTAAGAGAAGCACCCCATGTTTCAGCAGGGCTAACACACTGTCGTTTGTATCCCAAACAACCCTTCTCCATGAACACAAGAGCTAATCCACTCTTCCTTTCCTGTCACACTCAAATACCTTTGCAGAACGTATTCTGCTGACAGAATTACAAGATAATTACAGTCAGGTATTTTGTATTCACTTAAGCTAATCTACCGCGTTTATTTCTCATTGTTGTCGTAATCAGGCAAGGAGGCACTTTGGTGTTTGTCAGGTGGATTATTTTTCAGTCATTCACTGCTCTGCACTTCTTCATACTTGTTAGGGCACTTCTGGCTTCTTGACAGACGTACAAAGAAAAATACTTATATGATTTAAAATGAAATGTGTGTTTCTCTTTCAGGTCTAGAAGTTGATGGAATATACAGAGTTAGCGGCAATCTGGCAACAATACAGAAGTTACGATTTGTTGTCAATCAGGGTAAGTGATTCCTCCACCCTGGTAATGTTTTGTTTAGTATTTAACTGTCTCAGATGACAGAATTTCAGAATCTGCTATACATTGGTGGCATAGAATGATGAGTTGTGTTTTGGAAAAGAGAGGAAAGGGAAGGTAGAAAGACATTGCACAGAGGGAATCAGTCAGTTAGGAGGGAGGAAAAACAGAGTAGTAAGCAGAGGAAAATACTGGTTAAACAGTAGATGAGAAACAAACAGAAACAAAAAGAGGAAATGGATAAATGAAATAAGGTGGCAGAAAACAAAGCACATGTAGAAACCAAAGAATCAAAGTGAGGAAAAAAAAAAAAAAAGAATAAAAGGAAAAATAGCAGATTGTTTAGATGTTGAAAGTTAAACAAAACCAAAAATAGAACAGAGATCCAAAGGAAAACAGACAAAGAGAAAAAGGTGCTGAAAAGAACTGAAAAGGAAATGCTAAAACTAGCATCCCAGCTCTGCCAGAGTCAGTGGAAGATTTACCTCTGATTTCAATAAGGCAAATAATTGATCCCAGGAAATGAGAAGAGGAAAGATGAATGTTTGGGGAACTTAAGAACCAAAATTAGAACTAACCACTGTGTTATCGTTACAGTTAATGAATGCATTGCCCCAAACTCTACGTGTAATGAACATATTTCCGCAAATACAAAAGAACAGTTATCACAGATGTAGCTAAATAAATCTAAAATTGATCAATAAATAATGTTACAGGTGTGGAAGCTGCTATTGGTAGCTAATTAGGAAACATGACAAATACATCGACCTTTCTGAACAGTGTACTTTTCTTGGCAAAGACTAAACATATTCGCATTTAATAGCTTAGCAAATATCATTGATGACAGTGAACCTCCTGATCCTACTTAATGAGAAAAACAAATGAAGCTTTTCAGAAATTAGGAAAAGAATCAAATCTTAAATTGCATTCGAGACTTTATGCACTTATTGAGTTAATCAACTACACGTGCAAAACTCCTGCAGCTTTTTCTCCTACCTTTCCTTCACTCTTACTGTCCCCTGAAAACTTTTACCAGAACTGCTAAACATTGTACAATATTTATAATAGGATGGTGCTTTGGCGTTTTCACATGGGGAGATGGTAACAGTTGGAGAATTACTTCCTCAACTAATTTTGTACTAGGCATAAGCTAAGACTTCTGACCCCAAAATTTTCATGATTTTCATTTTCAAGCCCGCATTCACATCTGTAATGAAGGTGCTCCAGAGCAGTCTTGTCTTTGGCTGAAACTGGCGAGCGAACTGCACTTTATGAGGAAACAGTATTTATGCCAGTAAATTCAGTGAGACTGAATAAATCATCAGCCTCATGGTTTTGACTCGTTACTTGGGCTCCCTTAGATTTATAGTTGTTGGGTATTTGTGTGTCGATAATGCAGTCTGCCTTGGCTTCCAAGTAACTGTGCACTGTATTTTGTTTGGAGACAGAGAAGCAAACCCAAGATTTTCTATCCTTCTTCACTCCCCAGGATCTTTGCTCAGGAAAAAAAACGTGCCATAAAAATAATGGTCCTGTCTATCATCTCTCATGGCATCCAAAGGTTAACGTACTCGAGGTTAACATTACCGCTCAGATTTTCCCCTAAAACAGATGGGATGATGCTGTAAAGCAAGACAGAAGCCTAAGCTGTCTTTTTGCAGTGCAGAAGTACCAGGCACCTTTTTCTTCTGGTTTATACCACTGTGAGAAATGAATATATAAAGGTGAAGTTAATGGTACATTAAACCACTCTGACACAGGCTACTTAGGGCAACTGCAATAAATCTACCTACTGAGTGACCAACGAAATTCAAGGAGAAATAGTGCTCCTGGAGCACTATTTTATCATGTTATCTGTTGTGGTAATTATTGTTTCTTTTGTTAGTCTTTGTTGATACAACCAAGGCAGTCATGCATTTTATATTATCATGAAATAGATTTTCAGTGGGAAACGAAATTATCCATCCGAGCTCCCTTACATGTCCTTTAAAATCTCAACTATACAAATATGTGGCCAGGTCTGCAGTTAGCCTTTCCTCAGGTAGCCACAGCAGACATGCCAAAGGTGCACCGCTGTAAATTTTAATGTCACATTTGCATTCCATGGGGCTGCCATATGAGGGGAAAAGAGAGGGTTGAGCACTGCAGCCCCCAAAGAATAATCCAGTAGCTGTTAATCAGAACATTCAAGAAACAATTCAGGCACAAAGAATGGCTTTAAAATCACAGGCCATGGTTTCATTTGTTTGAATAGCATCCTTTCTCTCTGCTAGGTAGGAAGATGCAGGCAGGGAACAGCCCATTAAGTCACGGTGTGGCTCTATAGACATAGATGTGTGTGTGCTAGCATCCTGCTAATATTACCCTGACTTCCAGGCTGCTGACTGGAAGATATATACCCACTTCATAGTCCTTCCTAATCCCTAAATGGATTTCAGAATGGCCAGATCCACAGATTACCTGGCAGGCCCATCAGGCAGTAGTGGCATGTTGTAGGTGCAAAGAGCTGGTTAGGCAACAAAGGGATGTGGAGCTGAGAGAGGAAGGGATCTAATCAGCTTTCCTCTGGGGGATTAGCTACATACTGCTCAGAAGCAACATGTACCTCCATGGGGAGATGAGGGGAGTGTGTTTTACTTAATGTGGGCAATGGTGGCACAGCCCAGTGTCCGAACGTTCACCTGATGCAGAGGACAGCACTAATTTCAAATAGTGTTTCATGAACTCACAAAAGTAATGAGGGAAGTGGTATTTTTTGTAAGATTTTCTGCTTAACATTCCAATAGAGAATCTTCGTTTTAGTGCAAGTCTAATTTAATTATAAATGCAAACAAATGTTCTAAAAAAGCCTGTTTACATTGCGGAGATTGACTGTGCAATCAGTTCCTATGCAGGCCAAATACTTAATGGGCTGTCTTCTTCCTGCTTGTGCTGCTATTGTGTTACACCTACGTTTATAGGATATAAATAATATGTATCATATTGAAAATTAAAGATCATAGAAGTGACTCTAGGCTGACTGCCATATCAAAGTCCTTTTTATTAGAATAGTCATTAATTAGAATATAGCAAAGCTTTATTTGGCTCCTTTTTCTGTATAGTTAATGTCATCTGCAGTATCAAAAACTGAACTAAGAGAAAACTGGTGATTATGAAAGGAAAACAAACTAGCAACTGACAGCTTTATCATTAAAGAAGAAATAAGAACAGTAAAAAATTAAAAGAAGCCTTAAAATCCTACATTTTTTGAGAGCTGGAAGGGGTTTGTAAGAAAAACTATGCCTCACATCTTTACTGCTCACTGTTAAGATTCTCTGAATACAGTTTGTTTCATTCTCATTTCTTGAGGTATGCAGCTCCAGAAAAGGGCTTTGACCTTGCCAACAAGAGCATCAGCAGAACAAACTACCTTATTTACTTTCTCCCTTTCACGGAGTTTTCTTTTTCTATAAAAGTCTCTTGACATCACACCTTTTTTGCTTCTGTGCAACAGGATTATCTTTTGTCTGTGATTTATTTTCCCATTACGAGCTGAAAAGATCAGTTGATCATAAGAGGACCAGGCTATAACATCCCTCAGCACTTTTGAAACTCTAAGTCATCATTTTTCAAATCAGTGAATCAAGGCGGTACAAGCTGCTTGGACCACTGGTGACACTGAGACAGTCATACTTTTCTTTGTCTCAAAGTGCTGAAAGAACTGTGTTTTTAGAAACTAGATTAGCTGTAATTTAATATTCCCAGCTGGAAACCTATGGCACAGGCCTGTTTAATTGTCAGAGATAAACATTCTTATGCTTTTCATATCGATACACATTGTAGTGTGATAACTGCAACCTTAGAAATGTATACATGGTACTGCTTAGCAATTACTTGGGGGTTTAATGTAAAATCTAGAAGAATTTTGATGATTTTTTAGTGAAGTGCCATAAACATCATGAATGTTTATAAGGCTGTTCGTCTATTTCACACCTGTAGGAGAATGAATAAGCTACTGCCCATAGATCTGCTAAGTCATGCAGAATATGGTGACATTTCCTGGGCAGAATGATGCCATTGACCTGATCAATTGTTTTGGCCTAAAGGATGGGGCTGAAATAGGCTCTGGGCCCAGGTGGGGCTACTTAGGGCTGTTAAGGCTCATTAAGTCCCTGGGGAGCAAGTCCTGTAATCAGGACAGCAGCACAACCTGAAAGTGGAGCCAGCTGGGAGATGCATTCTAAAAAGGGAGCATGCGAGCTGCTCAGGAAGGCTAACAAGGATACAAAGAGTGCTTGAGGAAAGCAGGAAAAAAACAAGGTACCAAATTTCTAAGTGTGTTAGAATGGAAGAGTGTGAAGTTGTGGTGTGCTCCCAGCTCTGTTCTCTGCTGTCCCACTGCTAGCACATGGTGATATAATGGGCTAAGTCCTTCCTATCCTGTTCCTCCTCTCTGTCCCAGCATGTCCTCCATTGCCCTCTTTGTTTGAAGCCCTGAGACCCTCAGTAAGGGAGGAAATCACAGAATGGCCTTGGCTCCGTCTGCCTCCTGCACCAGTCTGCTGGGTGGCTGGGAAGGCACTCAATTTCTAGGACTGTCAAACAAGCAATTTTCATGAGTACTAAATTAACTGAAAAAAAGGGAGCTATAAAGAGTTCATAAGATGTTGCTGAAACACTGAGATTCTATATTAATGCATATATGTTCAGGGAAACTAACCATAGAAATACAAATTTCAGTACTTATTGGTTCATTCAGCAAGTGTTGGTTCATACCTAATACAAGAGAGTTCCTAATTGTCTTTATATCCTGTGCTTTGTTTGCAAAATGCTTGGTATTTGCAGTACAGATGACCTTTGAATCCTGTTATTTCATTTGCAATACCTTATGTGTTAACTGCAAAACACTGCATGCCATCCAAAGGTCAATTACCACGTTCTTACTGCTTATGTACCAAAGGGGTAAAAATATATATATTTGTTCAGAGCCTAGAAATTGTTATTGA